TGTGTTGAAGGCCGCAGAGAGGTCAAGGAGTAGGAGCACTGAATAGTGGCCATTAGCTTTGGCGGTTAGCAGGTCGTTGGAGAGTTTGAGTAAGGCAGTTTCGGTGGAGTGTAGGGGACGGAAGCCGGACTGTAGGGGATCAAGGAGGTTGTTGTCGTTGAGGTGAGCGCATAGGCGGGTGTAGACTAGGCGCTCGAGGAGTTTAGATGTAAATGGGAGCAGGGAGATGGGTCTGAGGTTGTTCGGGTCATTGGGGTCCAGGGAGGGCTTTCTAAGTATGGGGGGTGATGTGTGCATGTTTCAGAGGGGAGGGGAAAGTGCCGGAGGAGAGGTAGAAATAGAAGATGTGGGTGAGGGAGCGTAGGATGGAGGGGGAGGGAGGTTGTAGGAGTTGTGAGGGGATAGGGTCGAGGGGGCAGGTGGTGAGGCGGGCATCAGAGAGGATCTTGGAGACTTCCTCGATGATAGTAAGGTCAAAGGTGCGGAGTGTTGGGGGAGCTTCAGTATGAGGAATGTAGGGTGGGGTGGAAGAGGAGGTCAGAGCAGTGGTGGGGCCGTGGGAGAGGGGTGATGAGGGGGAAGGGGGTTGGAGGGAGTTTAAGCAGCGATATATTACTAATTTCTGTAATAATAGATATACTAAGTACTAATATCGGTAATAATATACTAAGTACTAATATTGGTAATAATAGATATAAGTACTAATATCGGTAATAATAGATATAATGAGTACGAATATTGGTAATAATAGTCACAATATAATAATAAATAGGCATTTACTGACTCCTGTCATGACTGGGTGGCTGGCTTGCCAAATCTAAAGAAACCCTGTCATGAGAGAACATTCATAATATTAGTAATAATAATCCCAATAAACTAATATCAGTAATTATAGTCACAAATATATAACTAATATCAGTAACAATAGTCATCATATAATATTAGCAATAAAAGTCACAATATATTAATAACTGGCAATAATAGTCAAAATATAATAAATGTTATAATACAAACCAGTTATCAATATAAAAAAAATATACATATAGCTAAAACAACACACACAGGGCCAATCCTGGCTACAAAACCTCCATATAACACCAATAATATATATAGACAGGTAATGAGACCACAGACACCCGACTCGGCTCCTGACAGGATTCCCTCAGCCTTGAGCTGACTGGACTCGAGAGCGCGCTCTGCTTCTTCCCGCCTGTGGTTTGGAGTGCGCCCGTGACGCGACATTGAGCTCCCTCTGGCGGTAAGAGGAGAGAAGCGCAGAGCCCGGCCTGATTTGAAAACTACGACTCCCGAGATGCAGCGGGGTGGAGGAGAGGAAGGGGCGGTGACGTCACAATGGCGCCGCCTGGCTGACTTGGTGGGGAGAGAGTGGACAGCAGAGAGGGTGAGAGCTGTGTGTACGTTGTGTGTGTTGGGGGGTCCCTGGTCCTGTGCAGGGGGGGAGAAGGAGAGGGGGGGTCCAGCCCCAGGGAATGCTGGGTAGGCAGGGTGGTGCTTGGGGTGGTCATCACACACCTGGGGGGGCTGTGAGCTTCTCCTAGACAAAGTGCACCTCAGGGAGAAAATCCCCTACCCCACCCCGGGGTGATTTTATAACCAGACCCCCGATCAACGCAGAGGGGGACGCCCGGCCACCAAACTTTGGGGGGGGGGAACAAAACTGCCGTCTCACCGCAGATCCCACCGCGCATCTGGAAGGCAAAATAAAACCCATAAAATGTGAAGGAAACGCAGAATACTGGGCGGTAACCGGGTAACCATAGGAAACGGTAAAACAAAATTTGCGGTTGAGCCGAGTCTTTAGCGCCCCCCTCCCCTTTAAGCTGCAATGGGTAGCCAATGGAGGCGCCATAAACTACCCGACGCGGCAATCGGCGGGCGGCGAGCTTGTAGCGCCACGATTGCCCCGGGACCGTGTGCCACGTACACCGTCGCCACACCTCGGTCAGCGAACACAGGGTTAAAAGAGACAGCGAGGAGGCGTCGTCAAAGCGATTTGACCGTGGATCACTCTTCAGAGGAGGGGAAGGTTTAGACTTGTGCGGGACATCGCAATGTATTCCTGCGCGCGTCACATGCGATGTTTGCGCTGTATATTTTTGTGTGGCTCAAATCTCATTGCATCAAAATGGCGCAGGACCCTTTTTTTTCACCTGAATCGCATCGCAAGCAATAAAAATCATGGCAAGCGATTTGAATCGGGTTGTCGTTAATTTAAAATCGACACCCGCAGCAGATCGCATGGACGCCGCACAATCGCGGCGTGGGAAACGTACAGGATTGGCTGCATTTTCCACATCGCATCAGTGCGAACCAGAACCATCACATGCGATGCGATTTGAGCCGTACATTTTTGTGTGGCTCAAATCGCATCAAAATGGCGCAGTACCTTTTTTTTTTTTTTTTGTCACACCCAAGTGATGAAAATCATCCCATGTGATTTGAATCAGGTTGTCAATAATTTAAAACTGACACCCACAGCAGATTGCACGGACAACGCACAGGATTGGCTGCGCTTTTCCACAACGCATCAGCGTGAACCAGAACCATCACATGCGATCTGAGCCGTAGATTTTTGTGTGGCTCAAATCGCATCGCACCAAAATGGCGCAGGACCCTTTTTTTTTCTGCACCTGAATCGCATCCCAAGTGATTTGAATCGGGGTGTCGTTAATTTAAAATCGACACCCGCAGAAGATCGCACGGCCGCCGCGCAATCGTGGCGCGGGAAACGCACAGGATTGGCTGCGTTTTCCGCATCGCATCAGCGCGAACCAGAACCATCACATGCAATGCGATTTAAGCCGTACATTTTTGTGTGGCTCAAATCGCATCAAAATGGAGCAGGACCCTTTTTTTTTCTGCACCTGAATTGTATTGCACGCGCATTAAAATGACGCAGTACCCTTTTTTTTTTTTTTTCTTTTAATCGCATCGCATGGGTAGTTACACAGGATTGGTTGCATTTTCCGCTTCGTATCAGTGTGAACCAGAACCATCACATGCGATGCGATTTGAGCCGCACATTTTTGCCGCATCGCACCAAAATGACGCTTTTTTTTTTTTCCTGCACCTGAATCGCATCGCAAGCAGTGAAAATCATGGCAGCCTTTTTTTTTTTTAACCCAAGTGATGAAACTCGTTCCAAGTGATTTGAATAGGGGTGTCGCCAATTTAAAATTGACACCCGCAGCAGATCGCATGTTTATTTTTGCCAGTTTGTTGCCGGGCAGATTAAAATGCGTCAAAAACGCATCAAAAATGCACTCCATGCATTTTCGCGGCGTCTCCATTGAAGTCTATTGAACCAAAATGCAAAATTTTGTTTTTTTTTTTAAAAAAAAAAAAAAAGCCCCTACTCTTCCCCAAAAAACCGCAGCGGGTAAAAACGCCAAGATGTAAACGCATCCCATAGGAAATCGTGTTCAATGGACTGCCGTGCATTTTCGCAAAACGTTTCACAAAACGCTTTGGTGGGAACCCGGGGTAAAGTGGAACTGCACGGCATCTGAGAACCACAAACCAAAACAAGCTCCGCCCATCCATCCATGTCTCCATGCTTTATTTTGACGAGAATTAATTTTGAAAATAAAAACCCCGGCATGTCTGGCAGTGGCCATCTTAAGGGCAGATGATTCATGTAGCCTTTACTTCCTGGAATCCATCTGCCCTTAGTTCAGGCATTGGCTGAGCTGACAACCCTCATGTGATATTATTCTAGGACGCCTGACTTCCTGGATTTCTGACATCATTTGCCTAGCATTTACTTTCTAGAATACATCTGCCCTTAGCTCAGGCATTGGCTGAGCTGACAACCCTCATGTGACATTATTCCAGGACGCTTGACTTCCTGGATTTCTGACATCATTTGCCTAGCATTTCCTGGAATCCATCTGCCCTTAGCTCAGGCATTGGCTGAGCTAACAACCATCATGTGACATTATTCCAGGATGCCTGACTTCCTGGATTTCTGACATTTGCCTAGCATTTACTTCCTGGAATCCATCTGCCCTTAGTTCAGGCATTGGCTGAGCTGACAACCCTCATGCGACATTATTCCAGGATGCCTGACTTCCTGGATTTCTGACATTTGCCTAGCATTACTTCCTGGCATCCATCTGCCCTTAGCTCAGGCATTGGCTGAGGTGACAACCCTCTCTCCGCTCCTGAAGACCCCTGGGATGTATGACATCATTTTGCCTAGGCAGGAAACCAGGAAATAACTGAAGAAATGTAAAAAAAAAAGTTCTACTTTTAATGGGTAACAGAGTAATATTGAAGATCTTCTTATCTAAGGAAAATTCCTTTAACTTTCCTTCTCTTCCCTGCAGAGGTCACTGGAGGATCTCTGCTGCCAGCTGTTGTCAAGGTGACCATGGAGGACCCCCTGATTATGTTAGGTAGGATTACTCTGTATTATCAGATAAAGTGTTACTGAACCCACAACAGTACAATCAGTCTGTAGATGCAGTGAAGCATGCTGGGTATACTCAGTGTGGGACCTAAGGGGTTAATCCTCCGCATTGTGTAAAAAGGCTGTTTGCTCCTGTCTTCTCTGATCCTCCCCTTCATCTATGGTCCTCATTCCATCTGCTAGTAGTACAGAGCTCTAGGAGGTACTCTGCACATGCTCAGTTTGGTATGTATTGCTAGAGAGTTGTTGTTTTTCTTTTTCTTTTTGGGAGGGTGCATGTGATCAGCACAGGGCCAATCGGCAGTGTCCAGACAGAGGGTCAGGGGTCCTGCAGCCTCATAGGACAATTAGGGGAGAAGGAAAACTTCTCCTGCAAGATTAACCAGTGCTTGGCCGGACACTGATAGAAGTCGCAAGACTGCTATATACTGCTGATGGGAAAAGTGATTTGACTGTTTATATTTACTAAAATAATTGCATTTCCATGTTCTGTGTACTGTGGGAGAGCGGATATAGTGAATGGTCCGGGGAGAGCGGATATAATGAATGCGGGGTCCCGGGAGAGCAGATATAGTGAATGCGGGGTCCGGGGAGAGCGGATATAGTGAATGCGGGGTCCGGGGAGAGCAGATAAAGTGAATGCAGGGTCCAGGGAGAGCGGATATAGTGAATGCAGGGTCTGGGGAGAGCGGATATAGTGAATGCAGGGTCCGGGGAGAGCGGATATAGTGAATGCAGGGTCCGGGGAGAGCAGATATAATGAATGCAGGGTCCGGGGAGAGCGGATATAATGAATGCAGGGTCCGGGGAGAGCGGATATAGTGAATGCAGGGTCTGGGGAGAGCGGATATAGTGAATGCAGGGTCTGGGGAGAGCGGATATAGTGAATGCAGGGTCCGGGGAGAGCGGATATAGTGAAAGCGGGGTCCGGGGAAAGCGGATATAGTGAAAGCGGGGTCCGGGGAGAGCGGATATAGTGAATGCGGGGTCCGGGGAGAGCGGATATAGTGAATGCAGGGTCCGGGGAGAGCGGATATAGTTAGTATTGGGTCTTGGGTCTCTTGTAGCATGTCCGCACTCTCTGACCGTCTCTTGTAGCATGTCCGCACTCTCTGACCATGTCTTGGAGCATGTCCGCACTCTCTGACCATGTCTTGGAGCATGTCCGCGCTCTCTGACCATGTCTTGGAGCATGTCCGCGCACTCTGACCATGTCTTGGAGCATGTCCGCACTCTCTGAAAGACTTAGGTAGTGTTACATTGACCAAGTATTATGAGTGGCCCTTTGGCGATGACCGGGGCCGCACTTGAATCCCCCTATATCAGCAGAGCTGCACACCACCATTCTACACGTACATGCCGCGGGTTGCATGTTTACCTCTGAGATGGCAAGGAATTTCCAACATGGCCACTGGAGATTCCTACTAAGCTCTCCGGAGACAGCAGGAGCAGTGGAAACGTTGAATGTCTGTAGTTGTCAGCTTGCTTGCATTGATTGGACCTAATAAAGTTGCTTCCTTGTGTACATGACTCCCGCTCCAGGACACCTGAAGAAGAAACATTCCCGCTCAATATCCCGTTTTCCCTGCAGGTGGATCCAGCAGCAAAGATGCGTCGGACAGATGTTCCCGATCATTGTATTCCCAGAATTCCAAACTGAAGGATCTCCGCAACCCCCACCAGGTGACGGACATGACTGCTCGATATGGTGGCTGCAAAATTGATGGCAGACTGGCATTGTCTGTGACCGATCCATTTGTGTTTTTTTAGGGCGAAGATCAAATAAACGAGGAAGAGGATCAGACTGTGCAGAGCGAGGAATCGTGTAAGGAAGAGGAGATCCCTCCAGAGATTGGCACAGGTGAGGGTGAAACACTGATCCGGTGCGGAATTCCGCACCGCATCAGAACCGCACCCCGTTCATGCGAACCACTGCGGGCGTGCATGTTAGCAACACCCCGAAAGCGGTCCACAAAACGCAGTGCGATGTGCAGAATCGGATCGCATAGGTGTGAAAACCCATGTGATACGATTCTAGTGCGGACCCAAAAAAGAAGGGGTTTTTCCCGTTTTTGGTGCGGTGGGATTAGAGTCATATTAAATATACGGCTCAAATCGCACCACACGCAAATCGCATGTGATTCGCACAGGAAGGCGGTGCGGTTCCTGTGCGAATCACATGCGATATACTGCACCGCATGTATGTGAACCCGGGCAGTACCCCACCCCCCTTTTTTATTCAATTTAATTAGGGAAATGTGCGTTTCAGTGTGTTTTTGAGGTGTTCCAGTGCATTTTTTATGCGTTCCAGTACAGTTATGTGCAGGAAAATGCAGTCTGTGCGTTCCAGTGCGTGAACTTTATGACTTGGTCGGCCGATTTTCGAAATCATTGATGGTGCCATCGGATTACAGAGCGAACGACGTTTTCGATTTTCGGACGAAAAGTCATTCGGAATTTGAACCATGTATGGCCTGCATAAGGCTCAGTTCACATCTATGCAGGTTGCGTATGACCCGTTTCTGTAATGCGTTTTGCATTTGTGCTACGTTTTTTTTACGTGTTTTTGATGCATTTTTTTCTTCATTTTTTTTTCATTTTTCTTGTTGCTAGGCAGATTTAAAAAGCATCAAAAATGCAGCAAAAATGCAATACATGCATTTCTGTAGCGCTTCCATTGAAGTCTATAGAACCAAAAACGCAACTTTTTTGCGTTCAAAAAAGTCCCCCGACCCTTTCCAAAAAAACGCACCGGGTAAAACGCAGAGATGTGAACGTGTCCCATAGGAATTCATGTTAAATAGACTGTATTGCGGTTCTGCAAAACGCAACGGAAAACGCTTAGGTGTGAACCTAGAGTAGGGCTAGGTTCACATCTGTGCAGGTTGTGTTTGACCCGTCTCTGCATTGCGTTTTGCATTTTTTTTTTTTCATTTTTCTTGTTGCTAGGCAGATTTAAGACGCATCAGAAACGCAGTAAAAATGCAATACATGCTTTTCTGTAGTGTTTCCATTGAAGTCTATAGAACTGAAAAACACAACTTTTTGCGTTCAAAAAATTTGAATTTAAAACGCAGCAAAAACTCAATACATGCTTTTCATCAGTGTTTCCATTGAAGTCTATAGAACCAAAAACCAAACTTTTTTGCGTTCAATAAATTCCCCGATCCTTTCCAAAGAAAAATGCGCCGAGTAAAACGCAGAGATGTGAACGTGTCCCATAGGAAATCATGTTAAATGGACTGTAGTGCGTTTCTGCAAAACACTGCGGAAAACGCTTAGATGTGAACCTGGGGTAAGGCTAGGTGCACATCTATGCAGGTTGCGTTTGCCCCGTTTCTGCGTTGCGTTTTTGTGTTTTTGCACATGCGTTTTTGATGTTTTTTTTTTTTTTTTAATTTTCTTGTTGCTAGGCAGATTTAAAATGCAGCAAAAACTCAATACATGCTTTTCATCAGTGTTTCCATTGAAGTCTATAGAACCAAAAACCAAACTTTTTTGCGTTCAAAAAAGTCCCCGACCCTTTCCAAAAAAAAACGCATCGGGTGAAACGCGGAGATGTGAACATGTCCCATAGGAAATCATGTTAAATGGACTGTACTGCGTTTCTGGAAAACGCAGCAGAAAATGCTTAGGTGTGAACCTAGAATAAGTCTAGGTTCACATTTATGCAGGTTGCATTTGATCTGTTTCTGCATTGCGTTTTTGATGCATCTTTCTTTTTTTTTTTTTTTTTTTTTTCATTTTTCTTGTTGCTATGCAGATTTAAAACGCAGCAAAAACGCAATATATGCTTTTCTGCAGCGTTTCCATTTAAGTCTATAGAACAAAAAACACAACTTATTGCGTTCAAAAAAGTCCCCGACCCTTTCCAAAAAAACGCACCGGATAAAACGCAGAGATGTTAGCGTGTCCCATAGGAAATCATGTTAAATGGCCTGTACTGCGTTTCTGCAAAATGCTGGTGTGAACCTGGGGTTAGACTGCGGCTCCTCTTTCCAGACTCTCCATGGAGAGTTGTGTTCTCTCTGAACCCCAACCTGAAATGACTGAGAATGGGATTCTTGCCTGCTTCTGCATCGGAGGTCTGCAAAGGTGAGCAATAACCACTAAATACAGCAAAGATTCACTATGTGTTTTTTTTCTTCTCCCCCCCCCCCCCCCCCTTTCACAGCCAGATCCGTGAAGAGAAATACGGTGGAGAGGCGCCCCCTTCCAATTTTCTCACTGAAACGAGATGGAAGGAAATGGCAGAGGATACGTATTCGGGTAAGCATAAGGAGGTGCTCTGTACCTAGGGCCGGTTCACACTCCATGCGTTTCAGTTGCTTTTTTTCCTGCATCCAAATCGCACAGAAAGTAGGTGACATGGTGGTCAATGTCATAGTTCACATCGGCGCTTGCAGTTCCAGTGTGTTCCGGTTCCAGAAAAAAAAAGTAGAACAGACTGCATTTTTTCTAGGTTGCTTTAACTGACAATAGCGCGGTTGTGCAACACCGCACCCAAATGAAATTTACGTCCTTTTTCTCCTACAAATAGAGCTTTCCCAATACGTGTAAGTCAATTGGTTTACATGAAAGTTATAGCGACTACAAATGTTTTTTTGTATACTGGAATTATTATTTTTTTTTTTTTACTAGTAATGGTGACAATCAGCAACTTATAGCGGGACTGCGGTGGGCATACTGACACTGGGGGGGGGGGGGGAACTGATTAATACAGTGGTCAGTGCTAATAAAAAGCACTGACACTGTACTAATGGCTCTGGGCAGGGAGGGGTTAACATCTGGGGCGATCAAAGGATTAACTGTGTGCTGGGAATATTTTGCTAGGGGGCGGGGTCTGTGTGCTTCACTGTAATCACACTGATCAGGGTGGCTGTACTGTGCAGTGTGCTGGAGCTGACAGGGTGGACGACTGTTAGTAAACAAAGCAGCCCTCCTCCTCGTAGGAGATCCTCGGTAATCACCGGCCGGGACCCAGTGATTGACGCGCCACTCGTGCGTGCCCCCTACCCAGAAATACACAATCACATATGTACATGTATATACAGGGGTAGCAGTATTTCTGCTATAGGGCGGCAGGGAAGCAATTAATCCTCAGAAATACAACCGGCCTAATAATTGTGCACCCAATGTACGTAAGTCCAGGAGTGAGTGAAACGCGTGAGCGGGCGGTGTCTGAGAGGAGTCAAAACCTGTTTTGAAGTCTTAGAGCCGGACGGCTCCTTTTGCCGCTCGTCCATCCGTTTGAGCAAGACAGACCCCTTTGGAGCTGCACCCGCCAGTAGGTGTGGCATCCTCGGATTGTAAACATTTGAGTGGCGCTCTTACTTTTGCGTCATGTAGTTGTCACTATTGCTTACCCTTCTTTTTTTTTTTTTTTTTTTTTTTTTTTTTTGTATTTAACCCTCAGAGTGAAATAAATTTGGAGGTCCGGGAGGAAGACACAATGGAAGAACAGAAAGGTAGCAACCAACATATGACATTGGATATCATCCTTTTTTCTTTCTTTTTTTTTCCTTTCTTTCCTTTTTTTTTTTTTCCTTTCTTTCCTTTCTTTTTTTCCTTTCTTTTTTTTTTTTCCTTTTTTAAATTTTGAATTCTTTGTCTTGTCTGTGGTAGAGGCACATGTTCATTTACGTCAATTCGTATCCACCTCCTGCAAATGTACACTTCCTTCCTCGTGCCTTCTGTCTCTATTCGGTCTTTGTGGAATTCCATGTTGTATAGGAAAGTTAGAGAGATTGAAGCTCTGACTCGGATGGTTTTACTGCATCGACTTCTCTCTTGCGGTTGATCGAAAGACCCGTATTCACAGGAACTCCTGCATTCTTGCAGCCATTGAGAAATACTGTGAGAGCTGTGATTGGTCACAGCTTGTCACATGGTACAAGGCTGTTGTGAATAGCCCTGTACCATGTGATCTCTGTGATCATTCACAGATTTCACAAGTAGTAAGCAATGATGTCAGGAAGTGACATCTTGCTTACTACTATTCATGTGATTACTGATTGGCCAATCAGTGATCACATGATCGGGACCTCGCAGAGAGATCCCATACAGTGATCGGTGTTCTGCTGTGTCCGGAGCGCGCACAGGCTGAAAGAGCGGGCGCCGTTTATGAATGGCAATCCGCTCCTGCACTGCTCCCGTCTGGCCATTTATGTACATGGGCCAGACAGGAAGTGGTTAAATCTCATCTGCGGGCAAAAAAAGGAGATATACCTACCTAATCCTCCGATCCTCCCAGCGCAAGACCAGCCCAGCACCCACGCACTAAGGCCGTCTTGAGCTGTGGACTATTCCTGACAGAGCAGGCTCCATAGACCAGGAACAGTCTACTGCTGGACCGTGGGGGGAAGGAGCCTCCTTTTTCTGGTGGAACAAAGCTTTCTTCTCACACCTAGACCAAACAAGAAATTGACCCCTGCAGTGCCGGGGCACAGCAGGACTGCATGGGAAAACTTTTTGCTGAAGTTGGGCTTTATGTATTGCTTCCAAGTTATAGGAGACTGTTAGAGACATCAGGCAGCTTACATGCTCCATGTTATGAGACGCCATATAGATTGTTACCATGTTCCCGGAGAGTGCGGGAGACTCCTCCATGTTCCCGGAGAGTGCGGGAGACTCCTCCATGTTCCCGGAGAGTGCGGGAGACTCCTCCATGTTCCCGGAGAGTGCGGGAGACTCCTCCATGTTCCCGGAGAGTGCGGGAGACTCCTCCATGTTCCCGGAGAGTGCGGGAGACTCCTCCATGTTCCCGGAGAGTGCGGGAGACTCCTCCATGCGGGAGTGCGGGAGACTCCTCCATGTTCCCGGAGAGTGCGGGAGACTCCTCCATGTTTCTGGAGAGTAGGGACTCCTCCATGTTCCCGGAGACTGCTAGGGATTTCTGTCAGATAACAAATGTCTGTTCTTTGCGGTAACCGCAGTCACATAATATTTTTTAATAAATTGTGTTTCCTGCAGACGGACCCATTACCAGAGATCCACTGGAGAGATTTCCCAGCCCAGTTCTCTCGGACAATTCTGATGCAGATTATAGCCAGGTAATCGGGGGAGGGGATAGATTTTAGAGTATGGGAGGGGTTGTAACCCCTGTCATATTTCTGCCCCCGTTGGAGAGATTTCTCTTTGCTTCCTGTCCCATAGCCACAACAGGAAGTGACAGGAAGTCCCTCCAAAGTGACGGGATCACCAGAACCAGTGTCCCCATTGGAAGATCAACTTTCTCTTCCTGTTCTGGTGGCAACCCGAAATTTGGGATTTTCTCTCCCTTTCGGTAAACTAGAGAAGGTGACTCTCCCTAATGGGGACACAGAAAACCCAACTGCTGTTCTGGTTGCTGTCCAAAGCTGAAATGGCTGATCCTCTCGTTTCCAAAGTGTGCTAAAATTTCACTGAAAAAAAAAAATTTTTTTTTTCCTCTTTCCTATGTGCGTGTAGGAGTCTCCAGGAGGCGGGGCAAATGGTGTCATGTTACAGGAGGAAGATTTGTACCTGACCGATGAGCAGGAGATGAGGGAGGAGGGGTCTTCTCTGGACTTTGACACGGGTGAGCGCACTGATTGACAGCAGGCTATATCCCTGATTCTCTGCAAGGATGGTGGGGGGTGGCAAATGAGGAGACGTTAACCACTCCCCCCTGGATGGGTGTCCTATGACGTCGCCGGATTTAAGCGGTTGTACCGGGAGGATGCCGGCAGCCAAAGGTATCATCACGGGATCAAGTTTTTAAGCGGACGATGCTGTTTAACCGCTTGACGACTGGGGCGACGGCGGAATGACGGCAACTACGCGGTCGTCCAGTTCTGGGAGGGCGTTGTATGATGTTGTCCCAGAACGCGCGCCCACCCGCATGTCCCCTGCGGCACACAACTGGTACTGTCTGTGATTGCTGTGTTTGTAAATACGGTTGCCGGTTATTGGCCGCACTTTCCTCACGCTGTCACAGCGTGAGTAAAGTACTGCCGATCACTGGCAAGTGTCACAGAGGACATCTACTCTGGTAATTGGTGCAGCCCTAAAAGTGCCCAACAGTGCCAACAGTCAGTGCCCATCGTTGCCGCCTATCAGTGCTGCATATCAGTGCAGCATCATCAGTGCCTCCTCATCCATTCCCACCAGAGCCCATCAGTGCTGCATATCAGTGCCTCCTCATGAATTGCCACCAGTGCCGCCTCATCAGTGTCTCCCCATCAATGCTGCATATCAGTGCAGCATCATCAGTGACTCCATCAATTCCCACCAGTGCCGCCTCATCAGTGCCCATCTGTGCTTCATATCAGTGCCTCCTCATCCATTCCCACCAGTGCCGCCTCATCAGTGCCCATCAATCCTGCATATCAGTGCAGCATCATCAGTGACTCCATCAATTCCCACCAGCCCACCAGTGCCACCTCATCAGTGCCCATCCATGCTGCATATCAGTGCCTCCTCATCCATTCCCACCAGTGCCGCCTCATCAGTGCTGCATATCGGTGCAGCATCATCAGTGACTCCATCAATTCCCACCAGCCCACCAGTGCCTCCTCATCAGTGACTATCCGTGCTGCATATCAGTGCCTCCTCATCCATTCCCACGAGTGCCGCCTCATCAGTGCTGCATATCAGTGCAGCATCAATTCCCACCAGTGCCACCTCATCATTTCCCATCAGTGCTGCATATCAGTGCCTCCATAAATTCCCACCAGTGCCACCTTATCAGTGCCCATCTGTGCTGCATATCAGTGCCTCCTCATCCATTCCCACCAGTGCCGCTTCATCAGTGCTGCATATCAGTGCAGCATCATCAATTCCCACCAGTGCCGCCAATCAGTGCTGCATATCAGTGCAGCATCATCAGTGCCTCCTCATCCATTCCCACCAGTGCCACCTCATCAGTGCCCATCCGTGCTGCATATCAGTGCCTCCTCATCCATTCCCACCAGTGCCGCATATCAGTGCCGCGTCATCAATTCCCACCAGTGCCGCCAATCAGTGCTGCATATCAGTTCAGCATCATCAGTACCTCCTCATCCATTCCCACCAGTGCCGCCTCATCAGTGTCCATCCATGCTGCATATCAGTGACGCATCATCAATTCCCAATAGTGCAGCCAATCAGTGCAGCATCATCAGTGCCTTCTCATCCATTCCCACCAGTGCAGCCTCATCAGTGCCCATCAGTTGAGAAAACCTACCCGTTTGCAAAATTTTATAATAGAAACAAAGAAAAACTTTTTTTTTTTCAAATTTTGCTCTTTTTTTGTTTATAGTGCAAACAGGCGCTTTTGGATGTTTTTGTTTGGTAAAAAAAAATACCTCGAAAAAACGCGGCTAAACGCTAATACAAAAACACTGAAAAACTCACGTTTTTAACGTGACTTTACACAGCTAACGTTTCCAGCGTTATTAAACCGCCCCACGTGCGTGGAGCGTAAACCACCCAGCGGCGATTAAATACCACCAAAAGAAAGCTCTATTTGTGTGAAAAAAATTCTAAAAGTTTCACAGGGGTGCAGTGTTGCATGACCGCACAATTGTCATAGTGCAACAGCGCTGACAGCTGAAAATTGGCCTGGACAGGAAGGGGGTGAAAGGGCCTGGTAGGCGAGGGGTTATTGTAGAAGAGATTTGAGGGGCTATATAGCCACTTGATCACTTCTACAGGCGGCGGAAGAGGGTGCACCCCCTTTCCCGCCGTCGCCTTTCCCCGATGGGATGGGAGAGCCTGGGACCACTCTGACTTCACAGAGGTGGGAACTGACATTGTCCCTCCCTCTCCGAGAGATCAGAAACTGGATTCTGTCACTTTGCTGTTCCGGTTCTTTGATTACTGGTCTGTTACGGGCCAGTGAAGCAGCCGATCAAATTGATCTTTTGTCTGATCAGCTGCATTGGAGGCCAGAGGAGGAATCATGGGTTTAATTGACCGCAGATATCTCTATAAAGAGGACCTGTCACGGCCCTTGCTTTCACAAAGGGATGTTGTTCATTCCTTGTGATGGCAATAAAGTTAATTTTAAAGAGTGACAGTATAAAAAACTGTAAAAAAAAAAAAATAAAATTGAAAAAAGTATTTAAATGTGTCTTCTCTCTCTAGGTTATGAAATCGATTACGACCAGGAATTTGACCATTACCACTCGTTTCCCGGAGACATCAACCTCAAGAAGCTCTCGGAGGAATATGACCAGGTCGTTGTCGGGGAGAACCCACCCGCTGGAGGGGAGAAACATTTTATCTGCAGCGAGTGTGGGAAGAGCTTTAGCCATTTCTCCTACCTCACCAAGCACCAACGCTCCCATTCCGGGGAGAAGCCGTTTTCCTGTTCCGAATGTGGGAAGCGGTTCACCTACAAGCCCAGCCTGGCAGCCCACCAGAGGGTGCACACTGGAGAGAAGCCCTACGCCTGCTCAGAGTGCGGGAAACTGTTTGCCAGCAAGTTTAACTTGAAGACCCACGAGAAGATCCACTCCGGAGACAAGCCGGTGGTCTGTCCAGTATGCGGCAAGTGTTTCAGCAACAACCCGGCGCTGGTAAAGCACCTGCGGATCCACACGGGCGAGAAGCCCTTCTCCTGCAACCAGTGCGGCAAGTTTTTCTCGAGCCGCTCCGGCCTGAATGCCCACCTCATACTCCACACGGGTGAGAAGCCCTTTATGTGTTCCGAATGTGGCAAGTCCTTCGCCAACCAGTCCAACCTCATCTCCCACCGTATCATCCACACTGGCGAGAAGCCCTACACCTGCATTGAATGCGGCAAAGGCTTTGCCAACCAGTCCAACCTGGCGAAGCACAAAATCATCCATACCGAAGAGAAGCCGTTTCTCTGCATGGAGTGCGGAAAATTCTTCACCCGGAAGGGTAGCCTAGACAAACATCGGCTGAGGATCCATGAGAAGACCAAACGTGTTCTCCAGTCACCTGAACCTGTGAATTTTTAAGAGGACTTCAGTCTGGATACCATTACCATACCCTTCCCCCCATGAGTTGTGCAGGCAGTAGCTTAGCACCCTCAGTTCTGTGCCTTGCCCAGAAAGCCTTAGGCTGGAAATTATAGCAAGGTCTGGCGAAGTTTGGAGACCCACGGGCAGCCAAACCCATTTGGTTTTTAGGAGTTCACTGACCACCAACCTCACATTTAAGTTGGAGAGAGCATGCGAGACCCTGTGGGTAGGAAGAGCCATGAACACAAGTATGAAGGTTGCCCTTTATGATTTTTTTGATCGATTAAAAAAAAAAAAAAAGCTTACTGGTAGGCGATTGAAGGCTTTGGTCACATCATTGGCCATGTATTTCTGAAGGCCAGTGTGTGAGACCTATAATATCCTTTGGGAGGAGGGTGAAGCTAGAAAGGTTCTACAGAGATCCTCAGAAGATAGCTGATGGTGGAAAGATCCTTCATATCTTCCTCCAGCTTCTGAAGGATCCTACTGCTTTGGAGACGGGCTTAAACCAAAGGTAGCTCTCGTGAGTTCCTGCTTCATCCAAAATAGTTCCGTTCTTGTGATAGACCAAACAAAAGAGGAGGTGCCAGCCTAGTGGTACTTTATTACTGGAAAAATATCAAAAACATACAAGCGGTGAAGATATACAGTACGTCAAGCTGCCATCTCGTGGCTCCATGAATGGTGGGACCCAAAGTGATGTAACGCCAAGATGACGCCGTCTGGGATCCAGAAATGTATGCGTTTCTAGGGTAATCCCTCTTCATCATAGCCCTCTGATGAATGTGTTTTTTACCTTTTTCCAGTAATAATGTACCCTGTGGATAATACACTAGACTGGTGCGCCCTCTTTCATTTGGTCTCTCGCAGTTGCTATTGGACTACCCCAGTCGGAGGGCAGGCGTTCCCCTGAATGGGCTTCTACAAGGAGGCATGTGCGAACTCCCCTTAGTCTACCACTTTTGAGGAGGGTTTACATCATTCATTTCGGCTATTGGACTTGTGATATCCGTGACGCAGGACATTGCTAAGATCACCCAACAAACCAAGAGTACTCTGGTCTCCTCCTCACAAAGGCCCTTCTCGAAGATGGGGTGGTGCTTCCATGGTTCTAGAACTTTGTGAAGGACCTCTTCACAATAACTGCTTATACAAATGGAGGGGCGGGTCATTTACCAAACTTGATACCTTTTTTGGAAAATGGATGGCATGGACTTTGCCTATTTGCCCAACCGACCTTTGGTAGTTATAGTAGCACTACGTTCAATCAAAGGAACTCTACAAAATGTATTCGAATGGACGGGTCATAAAACACCTGATATCATGTTAGAGGAACAAGGTGCCTTTCGGTGAGAAACCACATCATCTTTTCCCATCTTTTACAAAATCCCTGTGCTTCTAATTGATGGGTACGTGTGCTAGAGGAACTTAGCTGAGCGTATGGAAGGGAGAGGTCTCCAGGTGATGATGTCACTACTGTTCCAAAGTGGAGGTGGGGCAGTGACATGGAGTCTGAAGGCTATAATGAAAAAATATTCCTCGTATGAGTGGGAGATTCTCCTTAGAGCAAGTAGTCTACAAACCAATAGATGCCAAACCCACCAAATTAGGCATCTGCCCATCTCTGGAAAATATAGACCACCTCCCACTCTCCCTTCCCCCCCCTAAAGCTGGAATCACTTGATGCTCCAGTCCCAATACAGGCGTATCTCGGTTTACGAATTTAATGCGTTCTGCGGGACTTTTCGTATTGCAAAGAATTTGTAAACCGAAACGTGGTTTCCCATAGGAATGCATTGAAAAAAAATTAATCCGTTCCGGAGGAAAGAAAGAAGTAAAAAAAAAAAAAAAAAAAAAAAGAGAAAAGTCAAGATCTTCAAAACTTTATAACGTGCACTTTAAAAACATAAATACTGTACAGGGACATGATTAAAAAAAATTTGTAAATGCATTGAAAACCAATTAATTTGTTCCAGAGGTCAGAAAAAAGTAAAAAAAAAAAAGTCTTATCTGTTCAAAACTCTTTACAAAGTGCACTGTAAAGGCATAAATACCGTACAGGGACATGATAAAAAAAAAATTCTTTAATGCATTGAAAACCAATTAATCTGTTCTGGAGGTCACAAAAAAGTAAAAAAAAGTCTTATCTGTTCAAAACTGTTTATAAAGTGCACTTTAAAGGCATAAATACTGTACAGGGACATGATTAAAAAAATTAATTTTGTAAATGCATTGAAAACCAACCTGTTCTGGAGGTCAGAAGAAAGTAAAAAAAAAAGATGCTTTGATAACCAATTAATCCATTCCGGAGGTCAGAAAAAAGTAAAAAAAAAAAAGTCTTATCTGTTCAAATCTCTTTACAAAATGCACTGTAAAGGCATAAATACTGTACAGGGACATGATTAAAAAAAAAATTCGTAAATGCATTGAAAATGAATCTGTTCTGGAGGTCAGAAAAAAAAAAAAAAAAAAAAAAAAGTCTTATCTGTTCAAAACTCTTTACAAAATGCACTGTAAAGGCATAAATACTACTGTACAGGGACAAAAAAAATTCCTAAATGCATTGAAAACCAATTAATCTGTTCCGGAGGTCAGAAGAAAGTTAAAAAAAAAGTCTTATCTGTTCAAAACTCTTTATAAAGTGCACTTTAAAGGCATAAATACTGTACAGGGACATGAGTACAATATAATTTGTAAATGCATTGAAAATCAATTAATCCGTTCTGGAGGTCAGAAGGAAGTAAAAAAAAAAAAAAAGTCTTATCTGTTCAAAACTCTTTATAAAGTGCTCTGTAAAGGCATAAATACTGTACAGGGACGTGATTGAAAAAAAATTTAATTTTCTGGAGGTCAGAAAAAGGTTAAAAAAAAAAGTCTTATCTGTTCAAAACTCTTTATAAAGTGCACTTTAAAGGCATAAATACTGCACAGGGACATGATTTTTTTTTTTTAAAAACTTGTAAATGCATTGAAAACCAATTAATCCGTTCATATTGCGAAAAAAATTTATAAACCGAGGCATTATTTTCAGTGGATTTTCATTCGTTAACCGAGGAGTTCGTAAACCAAGGTTCGCTTGTACTTCTATCCTCTTACGTGTACATAAGATGGGGTTCTCAAGTGTCCTGGGTTGCCTTAAAGCGGTAGTAAACCGCAGCTTAATAAAAAAAGTCCCCTGCAAGGTAATGTCATAATTTGCTAGTATGCATCGCATGCTAGCACATTATGAAAGACTTGCCTTCGAATGAATCCCTCGAGCAGTGCTCTGTCTCCATTGACCGGGCTTCCATCTTCACTCGGTCTTCCTTCCGGGTTTGTGAGCTCCAGCTGTCTGAGTGGCCGAGCCACGATGATGTCTCTTCCACGCATGCGTGCAAGAGTCACTCTTTACGGCACAGGGCTCTGAAGGAACGCCACAGGTATGCCATTCCTTCAGAGCTCATGCGCCGGCTCTCAAAAGGAGCGAATATCTCCTAAATGGAGCACATTTAGGAGATATTCATTTCACCTACATGTAAGCTCGCCTGTACGTAAAAATCACAAAGTGGACTTTACTGCCGCTTTACAATGGGCTTTAACTACAGTGTACCAATTAAAGTGAAATTAAAGACAATTAAAAAAAATTAAAAACATACCTGCTCTGTGGAGTGGTATTGCACAGAGCAGCCCCGATCTTCCTCCTCTTGGATCCTCCTGCCAAGTGCCCCCACAGCCAACAGCCTGCTATGGGGGTACCCAAGCAGGCTCTCTCCCAAGCCTCTACTCTGCATGTCCATACTTACCTGCTCTGTGCAGTGGTTTTGCACAGAGCAGCCCTGATCTTTCTCTTCTTGGATCCCCCTGCCAGGGCTCCTGGCCCTTCCCTCCTGCCAAGTGCCCCCCAGGGCCAGCAACCTGCTATGGGGGTATCCAAGCAGGCTCACTCCCAAGCCTCTACTCTGCGTGTCCATACTTACCTGCTCTGTGCAGTGGTTTTGCACAGAGCAGCCCTGATCTTCCTCTTCTTGGATCCCTCCACCAGAGCTCCTGGCCCTTCCCTCCTGCCAAGTGCCCCCCACAGCCAGCAGCCTGCTATGGGGGTGCCCAAGCAGGCTCACTCCCAAGCCTCTACTCTGCATGTCCATTAGAGCTGCAGATCGGCCCCCTCTTTCTCCTCTGGCTCTCTGTGATTGACAGCCAATGAGGAAGGAAAGTCCCCGGAGAGCTGAGGCTCTCGTGCACATTGTTGGATCAAGATGGGGCTCAGGTAAGTATATGAGGGGGTGGGGGCTGCTGCACACAGAACGTTTTTTTACCATCATGCATAGAGGGCTCCATCACTGATTGCAAGTGTTCCACAGTGTTGGGAAGGGACTACAACATCATTGTTCCATCAGCGATTGGAGAACGGAGCCAGAAACTTGGGTCTAGCTTCCAACTACTGGCTTTTTTGAGAAATCTAAGCAGTCGAGGGTATCAAAGCAGCCAACATTTGCCCGTAACTAAAAAAAAACATCAGTTTGTGCA